TTTGAAAAATGGCATTTTGTAAAGATTTTAAAAGTGTGATATTTTTGTAAAATGGCACTTGAAAAGTGACATTTTTAAAAATTTCTCTATTTACGTTAGCTCTAACTCTTCGGTTTTTCTTGAATTTTGTAAAATGTAAAATCCGATGTTAAGTTCGATTCAGTTTTGAAAACAAGTTATGAAAAAATAAAATTCGTTAATTTTACTTAGTACTATAGTCGTACTAAGAGCATCATTGACGCACATACCCTTCAAAAGTGTCTTCCCATAAAAGCGATTAAAATTTATTTAGTTAAATGAACTTCCCATAGAAAAATTTGGTAGGAGGAACTCAATGAAACTGATTTTGAAGTGTCAAACTTGTTTTTTGATAAATTGAATATTAAAAAATTATGAGAAATTTCAAAAAATTGTCACTTTTCAAATATCATTTTACAAAAATGCCACATTTTTGAAATCTTTATAAAAATATCATTTTTTCAAAATTATTTTTTCTTTATATCATTTATGTTTGAATTAATTATGTTCTATTAGGGTTTAGTATGAGAGTTTAGAGAGTTTTAGGAGTCAAAACATTTTTTAGGGTTTATAATTTTAAGATATAGGTTTTATAAATCTATAATTAGTGGCATTTTTGTAAATGAACATACCTAAGTAGCATTTTTGTAAATATGCATACAAAAAGTGGCATTTTTATAATTAACCCAAAAATTATTTAAGATCTTTTAATTGGTTTACCATTAATGATGTTCAAATACATGATGTTGCTTCTTGTAGTCATCTTATTTAGTGTTCATTAATGACAGTATTTATACTAAGTGATTCCATTTTTGCGTTGAATTTTGCAAAACTTGGAATTTATGGGTCAGTGAGAGCTGAGATGCATGATCGTATTAAATTTTTGTTATCTTTGACATTATAGTAGGGATCGTACAAAAACTATACCAACCTACAAAAAATGAAACAAATTTCATATAGTATATCGTAAATTGGAAGGAAAAACATTAAAAGAAAGATAGCTGGTAATAAATCCAACTATGGTTGACCGATTCACCAACTATATACGTAATCATTTTTTTATCAAGTCATTTTCTTGTGGGTATATATATATGTCAATAGTTTGACCCATTGAATGTTTTTTTCCCAATTGTATTCATTTAAATTCTAAATTTCGTTTTGTCAAAGAGTAAATAAAAACTATAGTTATTATGTCATTTTACTGTTGATATATTTACATGTGAATAGTTTATGTTTTTTTACTGACCCATATTGAATGCTTTTTTCTTCATTTCATAAAACTATACTAGTTACTAAGTCATTTTACTGTGGATTACATCGTGTCAATAGTTTGACGCATGCTGAATCCTTTTTCTCTGCATTTCGTTTATTTAATGGGTAAATAAAAACTACTATTTGTCAATGAATACAAATAAAAATAAAAACTAGTAATACGTGGGTACATTATTTTTATAAAGAAATACTTGAGTACATTAATACAAGGGAAATTTTTCAAAAATACAACAAAAAATTATAATTTAAAAACTAACAAAAAACTTCAAATTCAATGGCCTACAATTTGCCGCATACTCCA